CCGCACCAACTTTCCGAAACAAACGCCGAACAAAAGCCGGCGGCGCCCCGGCAGAGTTGGGGGTTCCCGGGATGCGCTCCCCGAGCTCGTTATCCCCGGTTSTSCAGCCCCGCTCCAGCCCCGCTCCGCCGGGAGCCCCGAGCCGCGGCCAGCGGGACTTTGCACTGCGCCGGGCTGTGCCCAACTTSCCCGGGAGCGCTCCCGCACCGCGGCCGCTGCCCTCCCCGAACCCCGGTGCCGCCGTTCCCTCCGTGCCAGAGACAATAAAGCCCCGGAGAACTTTTAATCCCGAACTCACACGGCGCTCCGGCACCTCCGCCCCGCTCCGGCCGCATCCGAGCGCCGCCTTCCCCGCCGGCCCCGCGGCCGCTCCGCCGCCCCCTGCGCTGTCCCCGCCGCTGTCCCCGCCGCTCCGGGGATCTCCCGGCGGATCCCGAGCGCCGCCGCGGCTCCCGGTGCCAAATAATGCGCTTCTCACACATGGAGTCGCGGCGTCACCGGGCGAGCATGCGCGGGGCGGGGCGGCGGCGGGGCCGGTGGCGGGGCAGGCGCTGGGGACAGCGCTGGGGACAGGGCCGGGACAGCGCCGAGGACAGCGGGGACAGCTCGGGGACAGCCTGGGGACAGCGGGAACAGCTCGGGGACAGCTCGGGGACAGCGTGGGGACAGCCTGGGGACAGCGCGGGGACAGCGCGGGGACAGCGGGGACAGGGCCCGCACCCGCGCCCCGCTCGGCGCCAGCAGCGCCCACCGCCGCTTCCGGCCGGGCGCGGGCACAGGTTTGTGTCGCGGGCCGCCATTGGCCGCAGGGGTCGCGCGGGCGATGTCACGAGGCCGCCCATTGGCCGGCGCCGCGGGGCGGGGGGCGCGCGGGCCCCGCAGCTCCGCTCGGGCCACGTGGAGGAGAAACGGGGACAGAACCGGGACAGAACCGGGACAGAACCGGGACAGAACCGGGATAGAGCGGGGAAAGAACCGGGACAGAACCGGGACAGAACCGGGATAGAGCGGGGAAAGAACCGGGACAGAACCGGGATAGAGCGGGGACAGAACCGGGATAGAACCGGGACAGAGCGGGGAAAGAACCGGGATAGAGCGGGGAAAGAACCGGGATAGAACCGGGATAGAGCGGGCACAGAGTGGGGATAGAGCGGGGAAAGAACCGGGACAGAGCGGGGACAGAACGGGGATAGAGCGGGGACAGAGCAGGGACAGTGCAGGGACGGCGCCGCTGCCCCGTGGGCCTTCCCGGCTCTGGGAGGGCACCAGAGCGGGGTCAGGGCACGGTTCCGGTCCAAAAACACCCAAAAAAATCCCCGCTCCCAAAAATATCCGCGGCCCCGGGAGAGCCCAAACCCCGAGCCGAGC